AAGTGAGAGGGGGCTCTGTGAGGAGGGACGTTCCTCATTCTTAAAAAAATGGATTTTCTTTGAAACATTTTTTCAAACAAAATAATCAATTATTGTTGGGTTGTGATAGGTTTGAAAGCTAGAAATTTTAAGAATAATCAGGAATCATTATTTTTTAGATTTCTCTGATAAGTACATTTCTGTGTATACATACAAATACTTTGTTTTTGAAATTTTACTTTATTGGATTTTGCGTTTATTTTGTGTTTTTTTTTAAATTGTGACTCTTGCAATAACTTGCACAATGAAAGTTGCGTTTTTTGTCCTTTTTTGCTATTTCAGATCTTGCTTTTTTGCGCAAATCATTGCATACAATATATATATCATACAATATATACATCATACAACGATTTCGGAACCCAGTGCAGAGATATGAACAATTTGAGTACAATATCCAGTGTAGAAATATGAACAATGCGAGTACAGTATTGCAGAAATATGAGCAATGTTAGTAACAGTATCCTTTTCAGAAATATGAACAATGTGATTACAGTAGTGCAGAAATATGAACAATGTGAGATCCAGTGCGAAGATGTGTTCAATAAGAAAGGTATCCAATGCAGAAATGTGAGTAATGTGCCCAAGGTGTCAAGTACCCCTCTATTGTTTAAATCAAAATGTTGTGTATTAAAAAAGATTCTAAAAAAGATTCTAAAAAAGATTCTAAAAAAGATTCTAACCAGAAACAGTAAAACGCAGTTATGAACTTTTTAAAATTAAATTGTGTTTCTGCATATAATGTGTGCTCTTTACGATAAACTAACTATATTTTATATATGTCCGGACTGAAACTCCTATATTATCCATATTTGATATATGTCCGGACTAAAACTCCTATATTATCCATATTTGATATATGTCCGGACTGAAACTCCTAAATTATCCATATTTGATATATGTCCGGACTAAAACTCCTAAATTATCCATATTTTATATATGTCCGGACTAAAACTCCTAAATTATCCATATTTTATATATTTGACTGAAAATAGAAATATATCGCCGTTTGTCAAAGTGTTTAATTCTGATAAGTCCCGTATTTTTTCCTGCAGTAGAAATGCTCAAACCACTTTTTCAGAGAGATCACTACTGAAAATAAACTGTTTTTAGAAGTGTAAACATTGATATCTAAATCATGCTTGACCAGACAAAGTGTTTAAGGGTACCGTTGTCAACTGGGAGACTAACTTGAAATTACGCTTATTTACCAATATTCCAATACTCATTTCTGACATACAGTAAGCAAATAGAACAAAACTCAGTAATAATGTTCACAATATAAGTTTCTTGACTGGATATAGGTTGAGTAGCTGAAGTTAAGTGATATCCCAATTAAAAGTTCTACCTTCCGCTCTGCTGTTTAAATCAGCGTATCCCTGGCTCTAAACAACCAATGATTTAAAGAACCCCAAGTATTGCCCTCGGCAAAATCGCAAATATTTAAAACAAGATATTCCACATTTATTATTTCTGCGTATTCCGCAGATACATAGCCCAGCTTGGTGCTTATGGGCTTATTGTTAATTTTGTTAAGCGTTTTAATTTAGATTCTAATCTGATTTTAAGATTAGAAACGTTTCTTTCAGATTCTGACCGTTACTTAAAGGGAGTGATCGCGAAAAATGAAAGGGGGTAAAGGCCTACGGCGAAAAATAATCGCTTTCGATCGCTACTAATCTTATTTCTTCCTGTTGCGTCTATAAGCAGAAAATGGTTAAAAACGACTTATACTGAAGAGTTTAGCGTCCATGCAAATTCAGAAAGTTTCAATATACGACTCGGATCGTAAAAAAATCAATTTAATTTCAAACATATCATTCAATTACAACCTATAGTCATCGATTACTTTTCGACGCATTCATATGTATTTAATATTTCATAATGTTTTTGATTCGTTTTGTATACAATTTAAAACTTAAAACGCAAAAATAGTTGGCCGCCAGATGTATCTGCTCTCGATGCTTTGAACGATTTCACGTGGCAGAGACACCTAGCGAAAAAAAGTCGTTTCACTAAATCCATAATTTATTGAAATGGGTCTGTTTGCACTGCAAAATTGCTGTGTCTCATCTCATTGGACTTTTAAAAGTCATAACTTGATTCTAAAAGTCGTCTTCCTATTTCATAGTTTTCTGATTATCACTGTAGAAAAATAAAATTAAGCTATTAATTTTTAATTTTAAATGTTTCTTTCTCCCCCCCATTCATATTTTAT